AGTGACGTTAACAGTAGTTTTCAGGAACAAAATGCTGACATTAGTTGGCAGTGCACATTGCCTGTATTCTTTGTTTGCAGTGGCTGGAAGGGAACTTTGTAATGGTAAGCAGATAATTTCCAGTAGGAGAATAGAGCCTCAATTCTCCCAAGTCTTTAGTGTTGATTTAAATGCCACTATTAAAGCGTGTACATTTTATCCATGTGCATAAACTTTCCTAGGACTGAGCACTGCAGTTACAATGAAGCTTTGAAAGCCGTGCTGTGAACAATAATTCTGGTATACTGGTTTTGCTTTTAAACTTCCTAAGTGTCTTAGAACACAATTATGTTTGAAATTCTATTTAGAAAAATGTTTTTATATTTTATTCTGATTTATTTGAATCTGAAGCTACTTGGAGTACATCTGGTTTCTCTTTGGCTTTCCATCTTGGGTTTCCCAATTTCAAAATGTGTGTACTGCTACTGTCTGCTTTCTCCTAGGTATACAAAAGGAAAAAAAATGGTTTTATTCTCCAAAAAGGAACTTTTTCCCCACAATCCTCTTAAGCTGAGCATCCACCATGAACTTACATGTTTTTAATACCTCACAACAATGGATTTTCTTAATTCTTTTCTGCATAGCGTGTTTTTATTCCCCCCTCCCTCTTTTGGTGGGATATTTGTTGCAGATCAGTTTTTGTGTCTCCATTGATGACAGCTCTGATGCTGCTGCTATAAGACCATCCTCTGCTGCAGCGTTTGCTGCTCGCAGCGTCTTTATGCGTTTGCCCTTTTCTGATTTTGTGGACCAGCGCTGGTTCTTTTCAGGATCTTTTCCTCTTTTCATCGCTTGTTGGTTCTTTCTCTTATTGTATTCTTTATCTAAAGGAGTTTTGGTGGCATAAGGTGTATGAAGGCACTTTGTGACCACAGCAGTTCTTTGTTTGGCAAAGGGCAAAAATAGGTTGATGGTAGAGTTTTTATGACTCTGGAAATCACAAATGTCTTTTTCCACAGGGGGATATTATGGTGACCTACAGACTGTGCCTAACAGAAGAAAGAAAACTCGAACTACTCACAAATGCTTCTTGTCAGAATGAAATTCCTACAGCTACTGTCCAGGAAACCTGGGAAACTGGAAATGCTTTTTCAAATACCTTTTTTCCAAAAGCAATTCCCGTATATGTGCCTGGCTACCTCCACTTGTCTTTATAGTAAGAAGAAAAAAGCAAACAGTTATGAACAAGTTGACCAAGAAAAATACAAGAACTTGGTCTACTCTGTTACATCTTACAAAACCAGCGCCCAAACACCAGAGACAATATTTGAAGAAGACAATTTGTTATATGGGCCGCCGGGTAAACACAGACCTCCAGTTAAGGCTGAAACAAAAACTCCCAAGAACTGGGTTCCTTTAATAAACCCCAACAAGAGAATTCCCCTTCTCAACAGTGATTCAAACCCCCCCATGAAAATCTCTTTACAGAAAACAAAAATGCCCAGTGTTACCCGTATTCTTCAACAGACTCTTTCTCCACAGCAAGCCTTTGCTCTAGAAAGATGGAAGCAGAAAATGACACTGGAGCTTGGGAAAGATGGTTTTGCCGAGTATACTAAAAGTGAGTCTAACCACAGTGTCATTGCAAAGTAGAAGCAGTAGCTGGGATAGCTGGTGGGGACCTGCTAGCACAGCTGCAGTGTCTGGCCCTGCAAGCCAAGGGGTTTGGAAATCCATTCAGTTGTTTCCATTTCAAGGAGTGAGAGCATATTATGAGTGCGCCCATTATCCATTAATCTGAGCTCTGATCTTTGTTCTAGGACAACTAAAATGGGTTCAGAAGTGTGTGTGAAACAATAATTAGTTTATAGATGTTCTTTGCTTTGTTATCTGCCTCTCCTTTATTTCTCTCTCTGCTATTTACAAATAGATATTTTCCAGATTATATTATTGAGCCTGTTTGCAAATACAAAGTTACTTTGTAATGAGATGGAAATGAGCGTATCATCTTGAGTGTTTAAAAAACTATGTGTCTTGCTGTTGAAGCTCTTCAGTAACTATTTAGTTTATCCAGTATATGTAGTCTCTTGTATGAAATTGTCATGCATTTAAAGGTTTTCATTTCAGAAGACCTGCAAAGGTGATTTCCCCCAAGCTGTAGGATTGAAGGGGATCTGGGGGGTAGTAGGTGGCCTCTTGTAGCAAGGTTAATAAATAACTGAGCTCTCCTTACATGAATTATTATGCTTTTTAAAACTGAATATCTTTTGTTTATGTTTTTTGAGTTACTAAGCACTTCAGTGAATAAAGTGGTATAACAAACCTTACACAGCTATTTAAAATTTCACTTTCTTGTAATAATTTCTGAGATAAGTCTTTACTGTTAGAACTATGCCCACCCATTTCAGGAGGAGATTAGCTCCATTCAAATGAACCAAAACAGCAGAAGGAGCAAAAGCAGCCTAGAATAATATTTTTAATTCATAGAAATTCACAAATGCCTTTCAATAAACAGTAAATTAAAAATCATATTTTGTTTCTGAGTAATGAGTGAGACCAGAAAAGTAAAGTAAGCATTAATATGAGATACTCATTTCACTGTTGACACTTAACTTATTTTTCTGTCTCATTCCTTTCTCTTCCCCACATCCTCAAGCTTTCAGTACAAAACCAGGGCTGGTTTAAGAGCTGTGCACTATCTGGAATACAAGTCCATCGGGTGTTACAAATAGTGTCTAAAATACAGGGATTTTTTTGCATCTTCCTTAGATCTTTTCCTCCAAGGAGAGCTCTTTCATGCCGCTTTGGAATCTATATTTCTGCCTGAAGAGATGGCAACTAAGGAACAGAGAGAAGATGATGTTATTTCTGGCTACTTATCAAGTGTGCAACATGTCTTGGAAGATATCAGTGAAGTGAGAGCTCTGGAAAGTGCCGTTCAGCATGAGACTCTTCAGTATCTGGGCCTGGTGGACTGCGTGGCTAAGTATCGGTGAAGTACTGGTTCTCTAAGAAACCTGGTGGTGCTGGTGTTGCGTGGTGCTCTGTGGCGTGTGGGAGCCTGTGTCCCAGGCTGGAGCAGGTGTGTTGGTGAGCTGTTTGGGGGGGAAGCTGGAAAGATCTTGTAGGAGGGATGAAGTGGATGAACTCCCCTGGATGAACCTGATGATGGAAGTGCTGTTGTTCCTTGTGGAGAATTCCTTACTGGAGCAGGTTATGAGCACAGCAGGGTTAAGTGCTCCCCAGCAGTTGCCAGAAACTGCAGCAGATATTAGTAAGTCTTGGTTTTTGAGATATAAGCTACCAGTGTGGAAGAGACTCGCTTAGACTGAGCATAAGAATGAACAACATGACATCAGGGTGAAACAGGCTGAGAGCAATAGGCCTTTCTTTGGGGTCCCATTCATTGTTTCTTACTATGACTGAACTTAAGTTTAAAACATTGTCCTGTCTTGTTCTCTTATGCAGAGGCCAGTTGTGTGTGATTGACTGGAAAACTTCAGAGAAACCAAAGCCATTTCTGAAGAATACTTTTGACAACCCATTACAGGTTGCAGCGTATATTGGAGCCATCAATCACGATGCCAATTATGACTTCCAGGTCAGTAGCCCTGCTACCTGCCCAGACAAGCAGCAGCGCCCACCTTAGTTTCATTTTTCCTGCCTTGAGCACTTGCTGTCCATCGTGGAACTGTTGGTAGGATTTGTAACAAAGCAGCCCAGTCTTACATCAGGTTAAGATGACATATTGTGAAATAACTCCACTCCTCTTGCTAAATCCTGCTGCTTTTGTCTGTCAGCAGTATATTTTTCATTGGTTTTAAGGAAGCTCCTGCTCAGTGGGACCAAGGCATGCTCAGCATCTTAGGAGGTCAGATGAACCCACGGTGACTTGGCATCTGGGCAACCCCCAGTGCTTTGTTCTATGTGTTTTTTGCTTGTGTCAAGAGTAGGAAGGGGAAGAAGAGGAACTAAAGCAAAAGAGCCTGCAAACTAGGATGGCATTGCTCAAATCATGTGTTGCTATATCCCACTAGCAAATGAGGGACTAAGTGATTTACTTAGAGTGCTTGGAAACTATACAGTGTTCCTTCAGAGGAAAGCAGTGTGTTGTCAATCACTTAATCAGAAGACAGTGGAATAATGTTTTTAATTTAAAGACTCCAAATGCAATTCTAGCCAGGCCTGTTTGGCCTGAAGGATTGTTACTTCAATGCAAAGCATTGAAAGGAGAAAATACAAAGCAGAAAAGAGCAGGGTGATTCATAGGTTGTGCAAAGGACTTTCTAGAATACTATGGAGGTCAGTAAACACAAACACTTGGCAGACGTGATGCTCACAGAGTGAAATACGGGCAGAAAATTCTGGTATTAGCCTTCTGCCCCTCACTGCTTTCTCTTCACGCCAGTGGCTGTTTGAGATTTTGATTAGATGTTTGTCAAGTATAAAAGATGTCAGAACATACCTAAGTAACCATTTCCATTCAGACTGATGCTGAAGAATGGCATCAGTTTGGTTATATGACCTCATCAATCACTGGGAATTTTACCAGCATCTGGAAGGTTTAAATAGACCCTGCCACTCTGATACTCAGAGTTTGAGTCCTCTGGCTTTAGCCGAAGTCAGTCAGAGTGCAAAGCTCTGACTGAGTCTTTGGAGCGTTTGAATGTTAGTCTTCAAGCATTTCATGGTGAATTGTTGCTCTGTTTTGTTCCCCATTTCTTACTCAAGATACTTCTATATTAAGATGATGTTTTGCAGTGAGGTTTAGTGTTCGGAACTGCTGACTGAAGTTGCATGTTGACACTGAATTTCTGACAGCCTTCTGTTTGTACCTGTAGGTGAGCTGTGGACTCATCGTGGTCGCCTACAAGAGCGGCTCCCCTGCGCATTCCCATTTCATGGATCCCAATCTGTGCTCACAGTACTGGAATAAGTGGCTTTTGCGCCTCGAAGAGTACATGGACAAAAACTGACCCAAACTAAGCTATGCAGGGGCAAGTGGTCTGAGCACAGAGCCAAAGCAAGAATCCTTTGTTTACATCTTCTATTTGAATACATACTCTTTTTTTCAGTCACGTTGTCTCGTTTCTTAATAACAGGTTTTCTCCCTTAAAAAAAAGAAAGGAAAATTGGCACAGGGAATGTGTATTTGCTTATATTGTAGGTGACTTAAGTGGACCTAGCAGTACAAAGCCACCTTAATATATTTTTCCCCACACACTTTATGCAATCTAAGGTTGATAGGAAAGTTTCTATTATCAAGTAAAACTGTTCAATCAAATCATCCTTCTTTTGTCATTTTTGAGGGGGGGGGGGAAAAAAAGCTGTTGCAGAACTGGAGACTTTGAAAATGAAGTTGGTGAACTAAAGCAAAAGGACATCTGCATTGTCTGAGCTGAAAGAAATGCAAACGATAAACACATGAATAGAGTAGTCTGGGTTTCAGGCAGCTTAGTTCTTGCTCATCTCAAAGGTGTCTATTAACAGGTTTGTTACTAATTGCAGTTTTTCTTACAGCAGCAACTGGGAAAACTGTGCTGAGAATTATAACCAAGGTTCTCATAAGCACTTATTTAAAATGCTAAGGCAAAGTGATCATTTAACAGAAGTGTCTTAGCAAAAGAGGAGCAGAATTGTAACTGAAACACTTAGAAATTTCCAGCAAGTGTTCTCAAAGTTGCGAGTTCGACTGCTTCTAGTGGCTCCTCCTGCAGGTTTCTCAACAGGCTGGGCAGCCCACATGAAAGAACTGTGAGTGTAAATGGGCTTTGTACCTTGGGTTGTGAGTCTCCAAGCAGGCCAACGCTGCAACTGTCTTGAGCTCTGCTGACTTTGTGGTGGGTCTGAGCAGACAAGGAGCCTGCCTGTGTGGAACAGTCTCCAGTGTCAAGTTGTAGCATTTGCCAGTGTGAGAAAGTTTCTTGATAAAAGCAGGTGTGGGACTTTGAAGCTGGGCCTTCTGAGGAATGACGAGCTGTTGGTTGGCTTTTAGGGGGCTGGGTTTTTATGGTTTGTTGGTTTTTTGGTTGGGTTTTTTTTTTCCAAATAAGTTTATGTATAAATGTTCTAAAACAGAACTTATTTTTGAAGCTTGTTCCATAAAATCAAGTCTATAGACACAGAACAAGCCTTGATGATCTCGGGCGATACTGCTTTGTGCTGCACACTTGGAAGGCTTTTTTTTTTGCATTCTCTTTGTTTTCTCTGAATTGTATGTATGACTTTTTGTAATACCACTGCAGATTACAAATAAAAATACAACCAACCTCTAAGCTTCAAGAAGATCAGCCAGAACCATACCTAAAAAAAAACCCCAATGGGTAGGCTTGCTGGTGAAGAAACTTAAACCTCTGTAGCGCTTAATCTGTTTTTCCAGAGTACTGAACTGTGGAAACCTGGGCGCTGAAACTTAGTTATAGTGGTACTTGCTTATTCAAACCCGGTCTGGTGATGGTATGATTGCTCTGTGCTTAATTAGATTTCTATCTAAAAAGACAAACCATGGAGACTGAGAAACTGGGTTCAGAGATGACTAACGGCGACGACGCTGTGTGAGCTTGCAGAGGTACTACCTGTTTTACAAGTATCTCCCCACATCACAGAATTTTAGCAAGTGGGTGGTTCAGTTTCACGGAACATGGTCAATATTCTGTCAAAGATAGCTCTGTGGATACAAAGAGGGTGGGCAGAGGCAAGAGGTGAGATACCCTGGGCAGAAGGAGGAGGTGATAAAATGTGAATTTCCTGTGGTGATTGGGACTGGATAAATTGAGAGAGTGTGGAACAGTTGGGCAATGTTTTGGTGGGATTGCCTTCTTCATCAGTGCATCATAGAGCCATTAGATGTCTCTGAACCATGTCAGATTTCATCCTCATCTGGCCTCCTAGTGAATAAGGACAAGTCTGGAGCACGGGCAGTGCAGGCACCTGTTGGCTTCACCTGTTCATTTGTTTGACAAAAGCCTTGTGTCCGAGGAAGGCTGCCAGCTTCACTGGCGCTGTCAGTTTGTAAACCTGTCTGTAAGTCTGGGATGAGTCGGTACCACCAGAGAGGCAGGAGGAGGCAGGCAGCCTTCAGAGACAGTAGCAGTGGGTGGAAGTTACTGGTGTCTGGCACCTCTGAAAGTCTGGCTGCCTCCAGCATCCCCGTGTGAGCTGTGGAACGTTTCTGTAGAGGCACAAGCTTGTTGCCAGTTTTCTCCCATAACAGAACTGGCAGATGGCCCTTACTAGTGTCATGCAAAGTCAAACCCACTTTGTGACCAGTTTAAACTAACTTGCCAGACTGTTCAGTTGACAAGCCCAAGGCATCTGCTACAGGGCAAATCTGTCCTCTGCAGGAAAACCAGCCAGACAACCAGGGCAACTACTCCAGCGGTAGCATCCAGCTTGTCAGAGGTTTGCTCTCCATCCAGAGCTGTTTTTCTTCTGTGTACTGCTACCTGCTTCTTTTCTCTGTTGCTGTGAACGCTTTCTTTGACTGAGATCACATAGATGGACCACCTTAATGTGTTCTTTCAGCAGGGACAAGCTTTGGCAGTAGTACTAAAGGGAAATCAAAAGCAATGTGTGCTACAGGAGGGAAAAAAAAACCACAGGCATACACATGCTCACATATAAAATGTGTCTTCAGCTAGAAAGGGAGGGTTCCAGCCACACAGCCACTGCTCCGGTGTAAGGGCTGAGGTTTCAGCAGAGCTAAGGACATGAAGCCCTTACAGTTAGGTGAAGGCTGGTCACTTTGCTCAGATGGGATGGACTCTACTGAACAGTCCCACCTCGGAGCTGAATTCAGCAGTTTCATGACTGAGACCTCACTGAGTGGGTGAGAGGGGAGTGTCACCAGCACAATTGGCTGAACCAGCTGGAAACGCTTTTCTTAGACAATTTTGTCCGTGTATTTGCACACACACACACAAGCTGCGCTCAGAATGAGCAGCCTTCCACTTACACTGTTCAGTTACAACATGATCTCAGGAGAAATGGGGATCAGTGCACAAGCTTTAGCTCTTTTTGCAAAGTAAGGATCTTCTAATTTACCTCAGATGCTTTTTCCCCATGGACTTCCCATTTATTAAAGTATTGTGCAGACCTTCCCATTACATAGGATGACAAGTTTGTTCTTTACACAGTAGCATCGCTTTATTATCCTCATTGTCAAGGTCCCGAGCACCAATGGTTGTGCTAAATAAAGTATTAATATCATTAGAAATGCTTTAAAAACCCTCAAAGCTTTTCCCCACAAAAAAAACCCAAAAACAAGCAGATGCCTGTACAAAATTGAGGCAAATTGAGAAGATTTTGACGATTCTTGCAGACACACTCAGAATCTTGCCATTTTAGTAGCAATGACTATGAAGGTCCTGGCTCTGACTCTGTATTTCAGGTGGGTTACTTTTCAGCTGTTATTTCAACATATATAGAACACAGCGTCTCCTCCCCAAATACACAGCTTTATTTTGAGCACAAAATGAATTTTTGGAATTTACAAAAGAAATCCATTAATTGTTTGGCATTTAAATTGATGTAAAACCTGTTTAGCAGCTGTGTCCATTAAGTTAAAAGACAGATTAATAACGTGTGCTTTGACCAGAGTACCTTGTGGTTGCTGAGGACATTACCACCCCACCCTGTCTTTCCTCATAGTGACACCCAAGTGCCCAGTAAGGGCTGCAGCAGCTTCTGAAGAGTCATAAAGTGTCGGGCGGTTTCAGGGACATCAGGGGTTTTTTTTAAATCCTTAAGTTCACACATGACAGTTCCTACAGCACTACTCTCTTGGTTGTCCTGAGTCAACAGGAGCTGGAGCAGGATATAGAGGGAGTTCTAAATACACAGAGCTGTAGTGCCAGTCCCTCATCATCATCATCATCATCACCACCTCCTTCCCTTGTAGCACCTTCTAAGCTGACAGTGGTTACAGATGAGAGGCCAGGTTCGTGCCTACAGTTTTGCACTGATTTTATGAGGCAGGAGCGGGCTGAGCCTCCCTCGCCCCTGCGCCGCGCTGCTCTGTTGTACGAGTGAACAGGCACTCCATCGTTCAAAAGAAAAAAGCCTGACTGAACACACACGCACACGTACACACCATAAAATACACACCAAAAAATTGCATTTCATCATCATGACAGAAAAATACGTATCTTCAAGTCATTGTAAGTGTTTTCTTTGGGTTTCTGGGTTGATAGTGATGTATGTTCAAAGGATGTGGTAGTAATCCCCAAAGTGAGCATGACAAGTCCGGGAACATCGGAGTTAAGGTTACACTTAAACCTAAATGTGATAAAGTAAGTTCACAGCTTAAAGTACCTAAAACATGACCATAAGTCTGCCCTGGAATAATGCCATTCACTAGTAGAGAAAGTTTGGGAGGAAAAAAATTCTGCATCCTTTTAAAAAAAGTTTCAGCTAACCTTGGATTGCGCTCCCAGAAATCATCAGTTTACTGCGCGGGTGGCAGAGTTGCGGTTATTTGTGCATCTTATCTTATTGCCCAATACAGTGTACTCCTGCTCTTCACACCATTTTAATTCATTTTGCATAGAATTATGTCCTAGTAGCTGCTCTTACATGGCACTTTGCACCCAAACCTCTCAAAAGCAATTTGTACGGGAGATAATGGTTATTATCTTTACAAAATACGCTGGGGAAAGGTGAAATTATTTGTCAGTGGCCACTCGGACGTGTGGTAGAGCTGAAACAGAAAACAGGTCTCCGGAATTGTCAGTTCAGTAAATGCTCCATCCAGGAGGTGACAGCCTCTTCCACCTCTTCCAGCCTTTCCTGGGTTTGGTTTTTTTTTTGGCCAGGTAAAAAAGTCAAGACGTTTGCATCGTGTATTGGAATATTTCTTTCAAGTTGAGGTTCTACCAACATCAAGAGAGTCCCGTTAACACGTTAACAAAAGCATCCAATTCATTTCAGGGATTTCTTTCAGAATAGTTTTTTTAAAAAAATAATATATATATATATATAGTCCTACATGTAAACTTCATTCCTTTAGACCACTGTAATCCACCACGTTACTCATCTTTGTCGTCATCTTTGGAGTTCCTCTGCAGGACAGGGCTCAGTTTGTTTTGCAAAACCGCTGCAAGTTTTTTTGAGGTTTTTTTCAGGAAGGCGCTTCCGGGGTGAACGTTACTAACGTGCAGGTAGAGGTCCTCCTGCGTGGGGCCCGTGTAGCCACAGTCTTCGCACACATACAGTTTATCCCGCCTCTGTTTGTAGGCGTATTGCTGCTGCACGCCGTGAATCTTCTTCAGGTGGGACTCCAGGGAACAGCGCTGGGTGAAGGCTTTGTTGCAAACCTCACATTTGTAAGGACGAATTCCTGCAACATTAAAAGACAGCGATTATGGTTCTGATGGACATTTCTTACAGCTGACTGGGGAACCTGCCAAAAGCAAGGCTCTGGCATATCAGCTATTGAGCAAACACCTAGCAGCAGGGAGCTACTAGCTTGAGGAACTGTCTGTCTAAATAAAACATCTTACTTTCAGGCTAAATTTTTCCAGAAAATGGGTTGATATATTTAGGAATAGAAAACCGAGAAATGCTTTGAGAAGATGTAGGCAGATGCTAACAGGTCTCCTCCATCAGTGCTTTGGTCCTAAAGAAGAAGCTGTTACCAACTCTTGCAAAACTGACTCCTTTGGAGCCCTGATTTTTTTAAAGTCCTGTGATTAGGTAAAATTATCCGTTTCAGCTAACCTTTCATTTTGGCTTTTATAATGGATGAAATCTCCTATCTCGGTAAGATGTTAATTTTTCTCTTTTAGAGAGCAAAGCTCAATGAGGCTTCAGTGAATGGCAGCCCAACGCGAACGCACAGCGATCGCGGTCCTTCAAATGAGGGAGAGTGTTTTCCTGGAATATAGATGTGATGGTTGAGACTACAAGCTCCAGTTCTAGAAGAGAAGTGCATTCAGATGAAAGAAATCTGTATCTGTGTCTCCAGAGGAGGGAGAAGGGGCTGGCTTGTGATTTGAATGCCTGAGCAGTTCCGTTCAGTACGGGCAACCAATGTTATAAAAATACTGCGCAGTAAAGAGTAGTCGTTTTGCCACCAGTCAGCACCAACTTAACAACCCCCCAGTACTTGGATGACAAATAGCCAAGGGTTTAGCAACACTTGAAAAAATCTAAACTAAAATCAGTTGTGATTTTACTGACTAGGCTAGCTCAGTGAGCTTTCAAGCACAGACCAGTCTTAAAACTGATGCAAGGAGCTACCTAAACCCCTCTCTTTTCCCAAAGAAAAGCAAAATGTGTGTGGAAGATCAGACCTATGGTGAGTAATAGCCAGGCAAAAAAAAGGGTAAAGCACACATGTCCGTACAGACAGTTCTAACCCTGTAATCACATTGTGTTAGTTCACTTCTCAGCCGCTGATCTTTCTACCAGAAATCCAAGCTGATTAGAAGTTCCCATAAGCAGCATCTTGATTGCATTTTGGCAAGTCCTGTAATAGAAGGTTATCCCTGTCTACCACCTTAAACTATCCAGACTAAAGTTTCCTGCCACGTACTGCTGTGAGACTTCTTCAGTGACATTAAACTGCAAATCTTCATTAGAATTCACACACAAAAATGTTATCTTTTACAAACAGCATTCTGGGTGCCGTTTCATGCTCATCTGAAGGCAGTTTAAACTCTCATCATCCTTGGTTCCTGATGCCCACAGTGCTCCACAGGCACCAGTACAAGCACAAGAGGAGTCGTGCCAGGATGGCACAGCCCATTAGGGCTGTGGGAACCTTGTTATTACTTAGGAATCATTTTAAAATTTGATTTCACTGTGTATTATTAGTTACTTTTTCAAGTTTAAGTCTAATTATGCCATGAAGCTAGAGTGGCACATTTGGCTTTCACACTCTCTGACACTTCTGTTGCGCAGCCTGGTTACAAACACTGCATGGCAATTTCCCCTGGAACACTGATATTCCCTAAAGCACATGTAGATGAACACCCATAGCTACAAAATAAAACCCATGCTACCACTTCCAGCCCATTTGTCTTCTTTTTAACATTCCAATATAGCCCAGCTCTCCTCAACAGCAATCCACTCAGACATAAAAAAGGCCACTGCTTTCAGAGATGCCACATTTCAGCCTGGGAAAGACAGATGCCAAAATGCGATTGGTACCCCCGCTGCAGCCAGGCACCAGTCCCTCTGTGAGCCAGGGCACCGGGCAGATACAGTACATGGGAGAGTTTATACTGGAGAGCAGAAATAGTGACACCAGATTTCTTCTAGTAAATTTGAGGACAATCTAACCATAAGATTCACGTTTCCAGGACAGTTGGCTTTCACTCCTGACCTTCCTCCCTTCCAGAGTTTTAGAAAAATGGTGTTATGCTTTATGTTTATGCTCTGCTCCTGCATAGTGAGTTCAACTCTACCTACCACAGCATACATATATATATAAATATATATTTAGCTTCTATTCTGAGACCCTCTTGGATTTAGTGAATCTCAAAGGCTGAGGGGACAGGTTGAAAAATCACTTCTTCCTGAAAAATCACTTCTTCCAGAAGCACCAACTCCGCACTTCAGCCACACGTACCCCAGCAGCATCTCCCTGCGCACAGCCAGCAGCTTTCCTTTCCACATGAAAGCTTTGCAAACAAACCAGAACAGCCCAAGACACTGGCTCCAGCTAATGCTTTCCCATCGAAATGGGCAGTATTGTTTTCATGAGCTCTACTGCTAAGAAACAACTCCTGCCCACCAACATATTTGTGTCACTTCTTCTGCTGCACCTGGTTAATGATGCCTAAGCCAAGAAAGAGACAGTGCAGAGTAAGCCCAAATAATTGTCAGGTCTCATAGGTAACCACAAATCTGGAAACCTGGAACACGTCCAAGAGATGGGGTGGAGGCATCTTCCAGGTTCCCTACAGTGCAAATGCAAAGCCTCCTGAGCACAGCCTGCCAGAAAGCCTTGTGCTTGGTGAGGATGGGGTTGGTAGTTACTTAAGCCATCGCTTCACAGAATCACAGAATCGTAGTGGTTGGAAAAGACCTTTAAGATCGTCAAGTCCAACCATAAACCTAACACTAACAATCCCACCTCTAAACCATGTCCCTGAGCACCACATCTACCCATCTTTTAAATACCACCAAGGAAGGTGACTCCACCACTTCCCTGCGCACCACCTCCTTCCACTAAGGAAAATGAGAAACAGAAAGATGGCCTTCTCTTCTCCCTGCTCCAGGTTAGGATGAGCTCTCCTGTGACCAGTCAGACAGATTTGAGGCAACTGATTCAGTTCAAAGAAACACAACCACTGTGATGCAGGGTGGGCTCAGGAACCAACCTCACTGCAGAGTGGCCACGGAAAGTGCATCCCTCCAGCCCGGGGGAGTGATATGGGAGCAAGAGTGAGCACAGAAGGGAAAAGGATGATTGTTCTTTCTTCCAGTGCCATCCTGGGCTTAAATCACAGCACCCTTGGCTATACCTGTGCACCTGCTGGAGATGCAAGCAGGGAGGAGGGAATTGGCCCAGGTTAAAAGCAGCTTTTTTAACCCCCCCAGTCCAAGGCAGGAACTGCTGTCAGGAGATTTTCAACCCATTGCTCCTGGGTTTCAACCCATGCTGTGACCTGCATGACAAATGAGTGGAGACAGTTTAGGCCAGTGGCCAAACTCATCTGGATGGCTGGATGTGCAGAGGGAAATGCCTCTGAAGGCGGACTGGGGCAGCTGGTAGCCTGAAGCAAGCAGGGATGCAGTGCAGAAGTCAGATGTGTTGTCTAGTTTCCCTAAAGAAGCTGGAGGCACAGCATGAACCACACTCTGGTTTCTCCAGGTGGTGCCAAAATCAAGCCATAACCCCATCCCGCAGGGGAAGGTTGGCAATCAAACCAAGAAACTGCTGCTCGTTGCCTCTAGAGGGCAAAGCATTTTCATCCACCGCCTGCCTCTGCTCACAGGTACACACTAGACATGCGTGTGGGGAGTCACCCCAGTTGGGTTATCCCAGGTGAGTTATCCCAGGTGGGTTACCCTGGTCTTGCTGACCCAGGCATGGCAGCGCATGGCTGTGTCTACACAGGATCTGGATGGCAGCTCATGCCCCCACACTGATTTCATTAGCTCTCCTCAGATTTCATTAGTCCCAGAGCTTTTCTCCACCCACTTTCATGATTTCCCCTTTCCTCCATCACATCCCCACTATTTTTTGCAAATGTCATTTACCTGGGGTTTGTATTATTGTCCTTCTGGGTTACTCTCACTCCCATCCTTGTCCCATCTCACCCCTTCTCCCACCTCCCGCTACCCAGAGGGAACGCGTTCTCACCGGTATGAGTCCGGACGTGTCTTTTCAGATCAAAGGTGTCGTTGAAGCCTTTTCCGCAGAAGGTGCACAAGTGTCTCTTCACCTGGCTGTGACACTTGATGTGACGGTTGAGCATCCTCTGCAAGCGAAAGCCCTTGCCACACAGCTCACAGCTATGCACCGTGGCATCGTTACAGGTGCCGGTGGTGAACTAAGGAATGGAAGAGGACAGGGTGAGTAGGCATCGAGATGACAATGACCAAGAGAAAATAAACTTATTGTTGCATTAAAAAATTATTGGGATATATTCAAAATGAAAAGTGAAAGCATTGGGGAGATTCTTGCTGGGTGAAACCTTCACGCTTCCCTTGCAATCAAGTGGGTGACTTAATGCGCGTGGCTTGGGACTGGTGCCAGGCTGGCCAGCTGGGCTTCAGGGGTTAAAAGAAAGCCCATGTGCTGGATGCCTTCCAGAGGCAGGGATCCTGGTCCCATGAGCACACGTGTCCAGGCTACGAGCACCTCCCCATGGGGCAGGGATCCTGGTCCCATGAGCACACGTGTCCAGGCTACGAGCACCTCTCTGTGGGGCCACATGTGTGTCTGCTCCTGCACTCAGACAGTATCCTGGATGAAGAAGGGAGGCCCTCCCTGGCATGAGAAAGTCATACCCATGCAGTGCCTTCAGTAGTGACACTTCCAGCTGCTCTGGGTCCCTCAAAAACCAGCCAGCAGTGAAAAAAAAAAGGTAGGTTTGGTGACACAAACCAAAGGCACACTGCGCTGGCTCAGCAGAGGCTAAAACAATGGCTCTAATCTCCTCCCGTTGGTCTCCCTGGCTCTTTAATTACCGGCAGAGTGTCATTAGGGGTTAATCTCCTCATTCCCGCACACCCAACACCAAAAATATTGCGCCAACACCATGACCTAACTTGACTAAGGGAGACACTGATGATTCAGCTCTTGGGAAGAGTGTTCCTCAGAGGGAACGCTTAATGTCTGGAAGATGCAAATACTTTGCTGTTAGTTTAATTATCTGTGGGGGAGCGGACGTGCTCGCCACTAGCCACTTGGGAGGAGGGAAAGCCAGCAGAGCCCGTGCACACACGTCCATCAGCTCTCCTGGCGCTGCTGGGGAGTTTCTGTGGCACGTTGAGAAAACCCAACTCTGCCAAAACAAGGTTTCACTGTGACTATTGCCAATGGCCCAGGTTAAATTATACAAGGTAGGTTAAAGTCAAGCAGCAGCAGGGCCAGCTCTTCATAAAGAGAGGAATCCGTTTGGGGTTTCTTTTTCCTGAAAAGCCAGTTATTTTTTCTGTCCTCCTTCACTTACTCCTGAAGCAATACTACCTGAAATTGTAAAGAAAGATTTTTTTTTAATTTTTTTTAAAAAAAGGCAGCTACGAAACCACAAGGTGTGAAACTGGAGAAGGAGCCAGCTGGGGAGTATCTGTTGGGCAACAGGTAGGACTCCACCTCATGCAGCTGTATATGAGCACGGTGGAAACCTAGCGTTACTCATGAGATTAATAACAGGGTGGCCCAAAGGCTGTCATCCCAGCACAGACAGCGGGAATTTTTACAGCTCCATCCGGCAAAGCAACAGCCAGGCTTTAATGAGGTGTTAACTACCCACCGGTAAACACATCTCCTCCTTCCTAGCACTGGGGTGGCCTGGCTCCACCTCTGCAGAGGGGAACTCTGGATGTTCAGAGATGAATGTGGTCCTCCCACCCCATCTGCATCATCACCACCATGCTTTGGGAGCTTGGTTTTGGGTTCTTGGGTACCACAAGGAGCCCATGACTGATTTGCCTTCTCAGCCCTGGGAGGGAAATCACCGCTCTGCTCTGCTGGCTCTGCCCAGGGGACACTGGGTCACCAAGAGCCCCTGCCCAAGCAGCAAAGAGGCTCCTCAGGGAAGTTAATGGACAGATAATGGCTTCATTTCACCCAAGCCTGTGGGTCCACCTCAAGGTGGCAATGGCCTTTCACAGCTTTGGAGGAGGACCTTTCCCTAGCTGTTATCTTAATAAGTCAAGAGGACAGGGGGGGGACGTGGTAAGATTCACCACAGTTCCCCTTGGCGAAGGCTTGACTGCAACCTAGAAGGCGGTCTTTTAAGGAGGCCCCATGTGAAGGAACGAGATCCACCCACACACCGTGGGGCCTGACTCCTAGCTGCTAGGGCTGCTCCTTCCTGGCTGGGTTCAGAGCTCCTGCGGGACCCAAGCCAAGCAGGTCAGGGGCGGTATGTCCCAGGCAGGGATAAGGGAAGGCAAAGGGCACTGGAAGATTACGGTACGTCGCCTCCAAGACTTGCCCTGACATTGCCACCCTACGGCTGGCCGCTTTCGTGGTCCTCCACCTTGGTGTGCAGAACGGGCGCTGTCACCTCTAGCAGAGAGAGCCCAAGGGACTGTTGTCAACCGGTGTCCCCATATTGTCACCTGGCGTCCCCTGCCCTCGCAGTGTGGTCACCCCATCACCGGGGAAGTGATGGTGGGGCTGCAAGCCGTTACCTTGATCTTCGACCTGACAACGGGGCGCTTGACGGCCAGGTCCAGCAGCATCCCCCCGGCCGTCCCCAAATCTCCGGGGGTGGGCTGGGGCGTCGGGGGGTCGCTGGGCTCCACGTCTCGGGTCCCGCTGCTCCCGCT